ACGGCCTAGAGCTTTCGACCGCATTCATTCCCAATACTATCGGATCTAGACCCCACCCAAGAACTGGCTTCTCATCCCACGTGTCTGACCCCGTCCCCGGGGATTGTGTTCGCACTACGTCATAAATGTTGTGGTTCTAGGGCCCGAAACGCATCTTGGGAAAAACGGTGGTCCCGTCGTCGCCCTCCTCCTCCTCTTCCTCCTCCTCCAAACCTCCTCTATTATTCTTCCTCCTCCTCCTCCTCCTCCTCCTCCTCCTCCTCCTCCTCCTCTTCCGAAGTCTTCCTCACAGGGACAAGGACAGAGAGTCTGCAAGCCAGCTCCAGCAGCCAACGGACCCCTGGATGGGCGCGATGTCCCTATGTGCAGAACTGGGTGCGCACCGGTGCGCACGGAAGTGCATGCGCGCTTCCGCCTTGCATTGGCTCAGGCCTCTCGCCCAAGAAGCCTGGCTTAAACCCAAGGGCGGGCCCCACCATAATCCTTCCCAAGGTCGGCGGCACTCTGGACAGAATGGGCCACCCTGTGCACGATTTGTGTGAGTCTGGCACTCGCTGTGCTCAATACACTTCTCCTCCCTTCGCCGCCGCCGTATTCCCCCTTCTCTTGATTAGGGGCCGACCGTGCCGGTATTCCTTTGGCGGCGCGCACAAGGGGGTGGAGGGAGGAGAGGGGCTTGAAGCCCTCCCCCCTGCCCCCACTCCCCTCTGCGCGTGGCTGATTCCTAGAGGCCCACGCGTCACGAAGTGGTCTCAGAACATATGAATGATCCAATACATGAAACAATACTCTTAGAGCATGCAACCGAGAATTCATAAGCAAGACTGACTCAGCTGGAAAGGTCCTATGACATTCAGTTCAAACCAAAATGATCTGAACAATGATTGGTGGGCCTGTGGGCAGGCCAAGGCGCTGCTACAACGAGAACTATGTCATAATGCGACTGACTCAAGATACTGATGTTGCAGGCATTGCGGGCCTTCTAACGGCCCTGGGCCACTCGAGTTCGGCCATTCCATCCCAGCTGCTCGGGACATCAAGAGAACTTGTAACCTTACGATGTATAATCATGACTTTTCGTTGCTGCTCTTAGCTTCGTCACTGTCCGATCCCTCTCGGGCCGGGTCCGACAAAACGGGAGAAGAGCAAAAGGGGTTACTGTGGCGCCTCCCAGCGCCGGAGGCGCCAGGGTGCGCACGAGGCGCCACTGTGACGACGAGATCGTCTGGTGGCAGGGCCGGAACCAGCTGCAAGATGCAGATGTCGCAACCCGCCCCCCTCCCTTGTCTCGGCACTTCTAGAATGGATAAACGAACACATCTGTACACTGGCCAACTATACATCCTGCTGTCCAAACCGACCGCGGCCGCTGCTGGGAATGCGGCAATTGTTGCCTCAAACTGACAACGCCCACGGCAACACCGACAAACAGCAAATCTTGTTCAACCTGGGCAGGATCTGCTGCCGGTCTGCGCCAGCATTCTTGCGATACCCGTCACTAGAAAACTCCTAAATGGGGTCCGAAAAAAGTTCGGAAGATCGTGCCGCATCGCCGATGCATCGGCGATGAATCGGCAACGTTTACGATACATCGGCGGAGCCGGCGTGAAGGAAAAACTGGGCTCCACATCGAGTCGCATCGTGGATGCATCAACAATGCGGCGCGATCCTTCGACCCAGTCTACTCGGACCCCATCTGATTGGCACACCAAGAATGGAACGGAAAACGCGGTAACGATGCCCACCCTCAAACCTCGTCCCAAACCGACAGCGGCAACTGTTGGGCAGACGACCTCTTGTCTCAAACGGACAACGCCCGCGGCGACGCCAACAGCGAAGGTCAAAATGGACAGGCCAAATGCCCGTTCCTTTCCAGCCCACTTCGATCGTGCTGATCTGGAAGGCCCGGAACCGCGTTCTTCCAGGTTTTCGGTGGGGGGCAACGATAAAGGAGACTGGCATAGGAGGGGGGGCATCGACCTGGAATCGGCGATACGTAGCCCATAGATCGGCGATAGGTCCCGATGGTGAATCCGCAGCTTCCTGGGCGGTTCGGGGCAATCACGCCCCTGTCGGCAATCAGTGGGCGATGGGGGGTCGATGCGCGCCCCCCCTACCCAGACACCCGACGTCATGACGTTTGAATGACGCGACCACCAAAGTTCAGGACCCACTCGCCGGGACCAACTTTTCATCCCGAGTCGTTCTTTGACGGTCCCGAGGGCCAGTGATCCCCCCAATCGCCGAAAACTGCGAAAGACCTGCAGTCATGCTTTTTCACGGCTCGAGGGGGGTCTGGGTGTGCCTGTCCCCTCCTATCGGCTAGCTGCAACTTCCCGCCGCCCTTGCCACCGTGGTTCGCCACGGCCGCCCACCGCGCTCTGGCCCTGCGCGCTTGGCTGCTGCTGCCCGCTGGCTGCTCATCGTCGAAATCTTCGGTGTCTAAGCGTCTCCCCTTCCTCTCGGCCTTCCCTCTCCCTCCTTGCACGCCGGCCAATTCGCTAGTCACTGCCCCTACCTACCTGTTACGGTGGTGCGGATTTCGCCGCCTCGCCGCTGACGAAAAAAAATCCCCCCACCATAGATCCCGCGTCGTGATGTTTTCAATACGGGGCCCCCAGAAGTCTCGACCCCTTCACGGGGACCGGTTTTTCATACTAAATCGTTTTTTGACGGTCCTGGGGCCTGGCGAGGGCCCCTGGAGGCCGAAAACTGAGAAAAAAAAACAAACTCTGTCTTGATTTTCCAGTAGGTTGGATCCCTGAGCCTATCGTTGCCCGTGTCCCACCCCCACCCCTCGCGCCATGTGCGCCCAGCGGCGGGTGCCCGTGGTGCGGCGCCGGGTGCTGCGGTTGGCCGCCGCAGGGCGGCGGGTGGTGGTACGGCGGCGCGTACCCTGCGTGCGGATCGAACGGAAGGGGCGCCCACCCGCGCGCGGGAGGGCGCCGCCCGCACGCCGGCACCGCTCCTAGCCAGGCTTCAGTCGGACACGTCCCTCTACAGGAGGAACAATCAAAAATACAGTAAAAAAATCCGGGGACGATGTTTTGAATAGTTTGGATTTTTGCTGGTTTGTTTCATGATTGTTTTTTTGTTGTCAGTTTCGACTTTCGCCCAAAATTCGCCTGTAGGAGGACGTGCCCGACCTAAAAAGCTTGGCTGTTGCGGCACGAGCCCCGCGGGAGCCCCGCGCACACGCTGACACCCCTCCCCTGGAGAGAGAGGCCCCCCCGAACCTGAGAACTGCAAAAAAAGCCAAGAAGCGTATGTCAACGCTATTTGTATTCGGCGTTTCGAACTTGGGCGGAAAGGAGCGAAGGAGAACCCCCCAGCGAGAGAACACCCCCCTGGCGAGAGAGGACCCGCAGAAAACGGCAACCAGAGACGCCAAGAAGCATAGAGATTATGTTTCCGGCTCTGCATCTTGAGTGCTTGTTCGCTGCCCTGGGGCCCGACAGGCGGCCAAGGGATGCCTGGTGAGCGTTTTTTTATTCGGCGTTTCGAGACATTGGGCGGAAAGGGTGGGGAGAGGGGCGGGATCTGGCTTCAGACCTCTGCTTAGTGCGGCTGTTTGGAACCGTGCGCCCATTGTGGGGGAGAGACCCCACCTGCTCGAAGCAGGCGCCCGAAAACACCCAAGATCCACTCCATGATGGGGGGTAGAGGGGGGGGCGAGGGCCCGCGCCGATCGGCAAAACAATGACTATAAAAACGATCACCATAGAGTTTCTGTTTCCGGCTCTGCATCCTGAGTGCTTGTTCGCTGCCCTGGGGCCCAACAAGCGCCCCAGGGATGCCTGCGTGAGATGTGCCCCTGTGATCGCGCCTCGACATCCAGACCGCGAGGACACGGATATGGACATGTCCTTAAGTCGTAGGCCCTGGCTCCATAGGTGTAGCATAAGCGATGGTCATGCACAGGGTGTTTGCAAACATCCCATTCGTATGAAAGGTCGCGTGGATGCTCAATGCCCCAAACTGACATCGGAAAGAAACCTTAGTTACCATCCCTTGAACAGTCAACACGCTGACATGTAAGGTGTAAAATCACCACTTAAACATTTAATCGTTCATCCATCCTGTCGTTAGGCCAGCGATGTAGGAGAGATACTTGATTAGGCGCCCAAATTGAATGTGGTTGTGGTGGTCTTGGCGGCGATGGTGATGGTCATAGTTTTTTTAGGCTGGAAGTGGCCCTTCGGATCCAGAACTCATTTCCGTCAGGACCCATTTCTTGATGGCAAGGGGACGTGGGTTGGGCAAATGTGGGCTTACCCCGGTGAGATCCAATGGTGTCACGCGGACTGCGTCGGCCCCTGTAGCACGGCCTGCGTCATGTTGAAGGGCTTCGGTGGAGAAGAAGACGTTGGAGCTGACACACTATGAGGATCATTGAAGGGGGGGGAGCACGAGCGAGATAAAAGAACTATAGGGTTGTTTGTTTGTGTTTTTCAATGTCTCAGGGCCTTCGTCGGGCCCCAGTGCCGCCGTGGTGAAGAACTGCTCCGAAAGGGCCCCAGGAGGGGTCAGGGGATCGAGGAGCAGCTTTCTCGGGGACGAATTTCCCATCCCGATTTGATTTTGACACCTGGGGCCTGTGAAGGGCCCCCTGAGATACCGAAAACAACACAAGAACAGGGCCTGTTTCATTGCCTCAGGACCCTTTCCTTCCTGGCGAACCCTGACGATCATCGATGCGCCCGCCCCCAAAAGAAAAATTATCCCAGTGCGACCCTACCTAGGAGTTGGAACCCCTAGGAAAGCAGCATTAGTAGTAACAGTAACGCTAAGCTAAAGCTAAGCTAAAGCTAAGCTAAAGCTAAGCTAAAGCTAAGCTAAAGCTAAGCCACCGCTAAGCTAAAGTTAAGCTAAAGCTAAGCTAAAGCTAAGCTAAAGCTGAGCAACAGCTAAAGCTAAAGCTAAAATAAACGCTAAGCGAAAAGCTAAACGAAACGCTAAGCTAAAGCTAAGCTAAAGCTAAGCTAAAGCTAAGCTAAAGC